TCACGCCCCATCGGCCGGTCAGAGCCGTTCAGCGGATCACGTATCCAATTAAAAGCCTTTGGAAGAATTGGGTCTCAAGTTAAACGACCGGAGCGAAAACCGGGCGACCTACTTCCTCCCCCCCCCCCTACCCTCCCCTCACGGCACACCGAACGGACCGGACGGCCCGGGAGCCGCGTTCGGGAGCGGGTCGCGCCGCAGCGCCGCGAGATTGGAGCTGCCAAAGATAGGGGTGCTGCTCGCGAGCGCGGTGCAGCCTGGCGAGATGAACATTGGGCCTCCGTAGGCCGAGCCAATCAGCGGAGGAAACGCTGTCAAACACAATCCCACACGATTAAGCTGTCCCCCGCGCGCTTTGGAATACGAGCAGCAGGCGTGATCTGCACGCGTCCTGAGCGGGTACGTACGCGCAACAAAACAAAAAACATTTGGAGTTTAAGGGCGCATACTACACTATGGGAAAACTAGAGTTATGAAAAAGTTGCACAATTTGTGAGAGGCATTAAACAGGGCACTAAATTGCCCAAAATGTGCTTAAGTTTAGTGCCTTTGTAATAAAGGTTACTAAACCCTGAGTGCAGTTCAATGGTAGGAGCTAGCACCTTTGTTTTTCCTGTCAAGTTAATTTACTGCGTCAAATTGAGTGTAACTTACCAGTTTTCAGAATGTGCAATGCAAATGTACACAAACAATCGAAGTTTGAATTCAATGAACTGCGTCTACACCATGTCGTAAGGTGTAGGTTCACAAGGTATTTATTTTTCGTTGCAGTGCACACTTTCTGGCGAGCAGTGGAGGGCGCAAGTTGTGAACACGGCCATGCTCTCAGTAGGCCGGGGAGGCGTTCGGGACGGCGCGCTTATAAGGGTGGGTGGCTGGGGCGGCGCGGGAGGCGCGGGCGGGCGCACTTCCAAAGTAGTTAGCATACATTGCACGAGGGTTATGTTTGTTTCCTCCAGCCCGAATATCTCAAACAAACGGGCCAAGGAGGAAAAAGGAAAACAAATTCGCCGGAGTCTTATTGTTGACGTCCCCGGGGAAAAAATAGAGAGGAGGGGGGGGGGAGTAAGAGAGAAAAGTAGGGGCAGCAACAAGATGGAGAAGATACGGATATCGGAAGGATGTTGGGGAAATGAGCAAGGTAGCCTGTTGAGGGAAGTGGCGCGGCGGCGGGCTAGGGGGGAAAGAGTGGGCAAAGTAGAGAGAGAAAGAGAGGGAGGGGGGAGGGCTGAGAGGGCTCAGCTTTATGATTCGTATCTACGACACGCCTCCCACATCCCTCGCATTAGGCACGAAATGGGAAGTCGGAGCGGGAGCAAGGGAGGCAAAAAAATGAAGGTAAGGAACTGTCGCGGCATGGAACAAAATGTCGACTTGCCTCACGCTGCAATATTTCTGTGCAGCACGGAACAAATGACAAAAAAGCAACAACACCAATGACACTGAAAATCAAGGGAGTAGGTTTCTCGTTTCTCATGGGATAATGATCATGACTTCTTAGGAATACAGCGGCAGGTTGCACATTGCGCGAAAACATTTGGTAGCTTCATAAACAAACACACGGCGTTTTTACAGGCAGGCGTGAGAGAAATGGAGGAATGATAAAAAACATCGTTGTAAACCATTCGTTTAAGAACTCGGATGAGCTTTTGTGACTTTCTGACAAGTTAAGAAAAAGACATTACCCTTCAACTCCCAAAAATAACAGCGTTTTATTTCTCTCTCCTTTTGGGGGAAAAAA